ATTACGGGGGGTGGACATGGGGAATATTTTTTTTTTTTTTATGATATTTACGTGGTTACATTCATATATACATACATGCATATGTAACTACATCCATAAATGCATATGTATAAATAAATTTGTATATATGTACTATACATGCACATGAATGCATTTTTGTAAGTACCCTACAGGAAATGAGGCTTGTGTGTAGTTAACTTTGAACTACTCAGCAGTGTATTAGTTTAGTACTCCCTACAAGACAGCTGAGTATCATATGAGTACTCATATTATCATTATCCCTAATCACAAAAGTGCTTATCAAAGTCCTCATTTTCGTTCAGGCCATGGGAAAAAATTGAGTACTTTCCCCTCAATGTTGTCATCAGAAAGTCCTCAGTACTAATAGTCAAACTACTCATTTATGCCGTACTACAAAAACAAAAGTGTAAATGTGTGAGAGTTTTTGCCTAAAGTGCTCAGCAATGTCTTGTAGGGCTTTTTATTACTTATTTCTTTCGGCCATAACGAACTACATTTGAAGCGCGATGACTTTTGAGCATAAAATATCCATAAAAAAACATATTTTTTGAATTTTCCACATATCGTTACCTTGATATAGAAAGGCACCATATAAAATTCTTTCTTTACGGAGTGATGAAAAACTCCGTAGAAAGTCAAGTCCTTTTTCTGCGAACTTCTTTTAAAGGACTGTAGTAAATATTTTTAAAATCCAGTGTTTATTTGCTTAGTGAGTTATCGGCAGACATTTGTACAATACTGCATTTGAAAATAAAATAAGTTTTGGCCTTTCTATATTAAGCTAACGATATTTATTTATTTACATTGTTTAACATTATATATTTGTTTACTACATGTTTCGCTGTAGGTGGTCCCAATTTCGTCAAACATAACATCAAAACGATAATACGAAATTTCGATCTTCATTTTACTTGTCCTAAATTCGAAAAAAGCATCAGCGAAGTGCAGAAAAAAGTGTTTCCAAAGTAATTTTTGTAAGAGGACATTTAAACAGAAACTGGTTTAAAGAGAACCACCTCTCGATAATGTATGCATGACTCCTGCTTGACTTTACAACTTACTTTAAGGTATTTTTTCATAGCTAATTGAAGGTAGGGTATTTATCGAAACTACACGTTGGCTATTTTTTGATATTGGCTATACATTTTCTTTTATTTCTTCTTTTTTTCTTGACTGGCGCAATAACCGCCAAAGCAATTTTGGCCGATCGCGCCAGTTGTTTCCCTTCTGTGCTAACTGCCGCCATTTGGAAATCCCAAATAAAGCCAAGTCCTTCTCCACATGGACTTTTCATCACACACGAAGTCTTCCTTTACCTCTGTTAGCAGCATCGCGATCCGCGTTGTATATTTTCAGAGCTGCAGCATTTCTTTCCATTCGTACGACATGTCTATATCGTAAATAGTAATGCTCATACAGCTTATGGTTCCATTGTCTGCGGTATTTGCCAGCAAAGGCCCGTAAATAATGTTCCGCAGAATCTTTTTCTCGACAACTCCAAGAGCCGTCTCATCAGATGTTTTCATTATCTATGCTTCTGCGAAACACACCAGCATGGGCATGATGAGTGATTTATAGAGTGTGATTTTTGACCAACGAGAGAGGACTTTTTTTCTAAATTCCCTACTCAGTTAAAAGTAGCACTTATTGGCAAGAGTGGTAATGCTGGTTTTAAAAACGCGAAGTAGTCTCCTTTTTCGAAATTCTAACTGTCAACAGGAAAGTGGGTGCCGAGACGCTTGCGCTCTGACTGCTTGTTTAGTTGCAGGAGATATGTACTTCCTTTTGTCACCGTTCAGTACCAGACCCACACGCTTTCCTTCTCTATTTAATTCTGAAAGGGCAGAAACGAAATAGCTCTTGTTTTTACCGATGATGTCGATGGACTCGGCATACATACGTCAGCAATTGTATGCTCTTGTAAAGAATTGCGCCCTAGCGGTGCAGTTCCGCTTATCTTATAGCGTTTTCTTTTCTCGAAAAAAGGCTGCACTTATTCTGCCTTGTGTTAGCGCTGTCGCATTTTATGTTCTTTTCTCAGCCCTTTCACAAGGCGTCGTGTTCTTTTCTCAGCAGGTTGCGCTCTGATCCCGCGAAAGTGCTGCCTTTTCTGCCCCCAAATAAACGTGAGTGGGAGAGTTGCACGGTTGATTTTGGTTAATGCCTGGTCTGTAGTGGATTGGTCAGGTCTAAAGTCACACTTATAAGGCCCAATCAGTTCGTTGCGGGTGGGTTTCAGTCTTTCATACAATACGCTCGATAACAACGTACCTAGAAGGCTGATCCCGCGGTAGTTGGCGCGTATGCCGAGATCGTCTTAAATTCCAGTCGTCTGGCATGCATCTGGCCTTATAACACTATGCGACAGCCGATACCAGCCCGGAATTTGTTAACATTTTCTAAAGGTATACCCATCCATGGCCTACTAAAGTTTTCATGTCTCGGGCTAAGTAGTTTTCACAAAAGTCGAAGAAGTGGTTAAAATAAATGTCTGAGCGAAATTAAAGGTTAAGACATACATATATATGTATTTAGTAAAATTTCATGGGAAATATTTTCGTAGAACATTTTAACCCTTTAGCTCCCGCCTGAAAGGGCCGCTTTGATCCTAACTTCAAGAAGCCCCGCAAAAAAAACAAATTTGGAGGGTCGTAAGAGGATTGATGCATTCTAGATACAGGTGGTCCCATATTAATCATCGGGTTATGAATTAACGATAATCTTACATTTTTATATGAGAATTGAAGTCGGTTTTATTTTTTGCTTAAAAATTACTTGTTTTTTATAGAGTTTTACGTTGGTGGTGGTGGTTATGAAGCTTTTTCTTGAGAAGAAATATAAGTAAAAATAGTAAAATTTTGCGCAGACTAATTTTCTAGAATATATCAATCCTCTAACGAACTTTCAAATTTGCTTTTTGTGGGGTTTCTTGAAGTAAGGGTGAAAACGACTCTTTCAGGCGGGAGCTAATGCGAAATAATCTACGAAAATATTTCCCATGAAATTTTACTATATACGTATGCCTTAACCTTTAATTTCACTCAGACATTTATTTTAACCATATTTTCCACTATTTTCAAACCTACTTAGGCCGGGAAATGGAAACTTTAGTAGGCCATAAAATAAAAAAAAGACGAGCTAACTAGCTAAATATTAGCAAAGTCCGGGCTGGTTTGAATTGTCATAAATTGTCTCACAGTGTAAATCAACGTTACGATTAAATCGAAAGAAATACAAAAACCAGTGTTAACAAGAAAGAAGAAAAATGACAAACCACCGATGAAAATCAAATATTTTAGATTTCTGAAATCCTTTCATAGTAAGTGTCCAAAATCCATTCGAACATTTTATCCCAATTTTTACGCCATAAATCGTGATACTGTCTAATATACACAGGGGTACATATCGCTCATTTACTCCAATAGTGTCATAATTCAAAAAAGATAGACTCGAGAAAAATGGCTTAATACATATTTTGTCCTAGTGAAATACTGGTAATCGCTACAGCTATGACATTTTTACAAAACCTAGAAAATGTGGCTGTAATTTCTGCTTATGTACTTAATTCAAAATTTATGTTTTTGGAGAGATATGTGCAGTACGTATGTAATGGAAATTGTTAATTAGGGCGTTCTTACACAGAAAACCCCGACTTAATAAAATTGAAAAAGATTTATAAGAAATTTTTACGGTTTACTTCAAGAAAATACTTTTCTTATATTGAGGAGGAAAATCTGATTAGTAAAAAATTTTTATTATTTTGTTGTTGTAGGTTACCTAATTAAGATAAGAGAAGGGAAAAGAAACTGCGAGGCCTGGAAAAACTTTATGAACCTATGATTAACCTTAACTTCGAATAAGTTATATACATACATATCGAACCCAAACCGCCTAAATAACGTAAGCGACATTTTTTTTTCAAAATTGTATTTTTAATGCAGAAATATTGCTAGAGCTCTAGTAGATGCATTTCTGCATCAAAAAGAAAATGTTTAAAAAAAATTCGCTTACGTTATTTAGGCGGTTAGGGCTCAGTATGTATGTACATTAGACCGCATCACTCCCCATAAAAAATGGTACTGTTTTTCCATTGGAATTATAAAATCTTTTTCTTTAAATTCTAAGACGTCCACCAAAATATTTCGGAAAAATATTAAGATTTAAGCGAACTGGACTGATTTGAAAATACCTCGAAAAATTGAGTTTTTTATGAATACAATTAGTTTCTTAAAGATGTTCTTTGAAAAAATCCCCTCAAATGACAAAACAGTTTAAGCTTAAAAAATTTACATAAAAATATTTAAAAAAAAATAAATAATTTTGAACGGAATCGTAATACTGAGATTTTTTTGTTTAACTTTTTCAAAGCTTGGTATAAAAAAAACTTGAATAACTGAACCTAAACCCTTCCGATTTAGACTTGTGAGGTATCATTGGAAAGGAATTTCTTTGCTAATAAGCTTATTCAAAGAATGAAAGAGAAAGGTAGGATGAACGAACATCATTCAAAGTTGCACTAAGATGTGTTGGTATTTTTTTAACATAAATAAAAATTGTGGAAAAATACCTTTCTACCAAGATCCCTTAAGTCTAAATCAGAATAGTTTTGGCCCAGTTATTTAAGTTTTTCCTAAATCAATCTTTAAAAAATGGAAAAAGGCATCAAAAATCTGATTACTACGATGTCGTTGAAAAGATTTTTAAATATTTTTATGCAGATTTTTTTAAGCCTATTTTGTTTTGTCATCTGAGGGCACTTTTTCAAAAAGTTCAAAAACACCATTTTTGGAGGTATTTTAAAATCGGTCCAGCTCGCTTAAATCTTAATATTTTTCCGAAATATTTTGGTGGACGTCTTAAAATATAATAAATTTTGTAATACCGGCGGAAAGCCGCAACTTTTTTTGGTGATGCAGTCTAATGTACATACATATGTATCCATACAAATGTTTTACATACAAACATGGGTTAATACATACCTTTTTTCTTTATCTTCTCAGTTACGCATGTTGACTTCAAATAGTGTTTCTTTGATGTTATTTATTTTTAGAGTTTCGTACTGTTAAGTACTTCAACTCTTATCTGTTTTTGTTGAAGGCTTTGAAGAAAAAGATTAAATTTGCACAAATACATAAGTATATATGTACATAGAGTAGGAAATTGTACTTTTTTTACGTCGTACATACATACACATATGTATAGATGTATATTGTTAATATGAGCTCTTTCTCTGTTTTTTAATTATTTTGGTAGATTTTTACACTCATTGGATTTTTGTGTATGTACATATATAAACACACATACATATATCTGATATTAATAACCGTATTGAAAATTAAAACCACTTTAAATATTGATGTTTCATTTGCACCATCTTTGTTACACCCTTTAGATAAGTATATACATATGGATGTACACATATGTATGTACATACATAGTATATACGTGTAGGTACTATATGTATTTTATATTTCCCGCACACGAAAGCGAACATAAATATGCACACAGATATATAAATATGTACATGCACATCTATGTATGTATGTACATATGTATGTTAACTACTTTCATATGTATGTACTATGTACGTCTTTATTTGGATGTGCGGGGTATCGAAGTTAGATATCCGTTTCCGTTTTACAACATTCTCACGGTTTGACAAGTAAGATGGTTCCAAAAGCAAACTTTTCCTTTTTGATTCAACTTTGGCTAAGTTTATTCTTCTTTTCGATTTAGCCTTTATTAACGCAATGAAATTCTCTTTTTTTTTTGTTTCACTGGTAATTTCTTTTATTTATTTTACTTTTCGCACCTATCGATACACATCCGCCGCAACCGTCTGAGAGCAAACATACACATTTACTTAGAAAACAAAGCAAATCAAATAATCAGCACATACATACAAGTTGAACTGTTGTATTAAAAATTTTATATTTTTGTCTTTTTTGCTTTTTGTTTTACATAAAATCACTGGGCAACCATACAACGACGACAATTCCAAACATCCGTTCGCAACGATTGACAGAAACACAGTGTGCCGAAACGAAGCAATGCTCACCGTGTACATGGTGTCTCTATTGTGAACAGTGTTGCCCTTTTTATCCATATACTTCAAAACTGATTTGTGTTTGTGCAAATTTTCGGAAGATACTTTATTTTTTCGCTAATTTCGCGAGATACTTAAATTTTCCGCGTAGTACAAATTTTGCTACATGAAAAAGAGAAAATACATATATATGTGTGCAGAAGCCGCTCTTAAAATTTGATCGAAAATGTTTGCACCTTTTGGGGACCCATAAGCTTAAGGAAAAGTGCTTCAAACCGACTATGTATAAGCTGCAGAGCGTATATTTTCAGATTTAAAATTGATCCAATTTAAAAAGAGAAATAGACTTATATTACAAACTGTTGAGAATATAACGAGGCGCCTTCATAGGCTGTGTTTCTTTATACATTCCGGATAATCCAATTTCACAGCCGGAATAAACAGAATGCGTTTGAAATATACGTCAACATATCATCAGGAACGTTCTAAAGAATAAATAAACAAAAAAGTTTATTCCAAACGTTCAGAATGAATAAAGAAATGCAGCCATAGTAAAAATAAAGTCGACACTGCTTCAGCTTTTAGACATAATTTCCAACTAGTTTAACGTGGAATGTAACACATAATTTAACAATTAACCTAAATGATCGACACCTAATAGTTTTAAATACATACATACATGTCTTTGTAATCAAGTTTCTGTGAAATTTATATAAAATAAAATATTTTTGCTCAACTTTAAGCAAGCTTAAAAACAATAGCAGTAACAGTTTTTTCTAACTTGATACTTTGATACTTAAAAAAACATCGAGATACATTTGATCAATTGTTTTTTTTTACGATACATTTTTTCACGACGTCGCGGCAACACTGATTGTGAACACATGTGTTTGTGGTGAGTTTAAGTGCTCGACTAGTGAGTAATAGAAATGAGAAGCAAATGAGTTAAGGGTTTTAATTCATATTTTTTGAAAAATTTATTTCAATTGGAAAAGTGGATTTTATTTGTATTTTATTTATTTTGAGATAAAAGTAACACACACGCCTTCATACGTGCATAAATATGTATGTAGATATGTTTTGTATATGTATACATTTATGTATAAGTTCGTGCTAACTTGCATTTGTATCTACAAAAGTGCATATGTACATAGTATATATGAAGGTTTAAACATAGCAGAAAATTCCCCAGAGAGCTCCGAAGAGTTTTGAGTTGGTTCTTTACACATGTACATATGTAAATATTTATGTATGTATACATATGTGAATTTTCTACTACGATTATCTGCTACCATCCAAATCCAGTTTTCAAGAAAAATCACAAGAAATGTTTTTCATTACTTCTGTTGCTTGAAAAGGCACTTTGCTTTTGCTGTAAATTTTCTTGAAGAAATAAATATACAAGCATTTTTTTCTTGACAACTCCAAATGATTTAAGAAATTTTGATGTATAAATTTTATGTATATGAATTTTTCGTTTTTCTTGAGAGCTGGAAACAGCCCATAAGGGCAAAAATTCTTTATTCCTATAACGCAAGAAACAAATGAAACTGTTTAAAAACTATTTTATTTACGTTTTAAGAAGACCTTCCGGTGTTCCGTACGGTCACGAGATGGAAAAAAAATTTGTTGGAGAGAAACGTGTAACAAACTTGTGAGAGCAGAAAGGAAAAGTGAGACAAACCCAATTGTCTTTCAATGCGAAGTAGCAAAAAATAAACTTATAACCAGTGTTGCCCAACACGGCCCTTTCCTAACAAAACTGGCAGGATTTTTTCCATTTGGTAGGTTAGTAGGCTGGATTGGATTGTGGTAGGTTCCGCGACAATAGTTATTAGCGAAAAATATAAAATATAAAATATGTATCTCCAAACATTTTAGCAACCTTGTTCATTCATTGTAAGACTTGAGGATTATCACTAAAACTAACCTATTGGTCACATATGCGGCACTGGCCTGGTAGCCAAAAGCTACGCAAGTAAAGGTGGGTTCCACCTTTTCAAGCTGCACCGACTGGTCCGCTTGGCCATTACAGGAGCTATGGTCACCTGTCCAACGGACGCCCTTGGTGTTATTACAAGCATTCATCCTTTGTCTATTCTGTTTGAAAAGGAGGCCTGTTGGGGTGCCCTACGACTGCCCAATATTATCAGCAAGAAAATTTAGGATCTGCGGGTTCTAAAGCCGCTCCTGGATAATCCCGAGTTATCCTTCAAACACTACAAGGTTAGAATTCCTAAAAGAGACTGCTGTGAAGTGATAATAACTATGATTGACGAAAGGTCCCAAGCATGGTATACCGACGGAACAAAGATGGACGGCAGGAGTACTGGTGCAGGTATATTTGGACCAAAATTCCAGAAACCATATTCCAGGCGAAAGTCTTCGCAATCGAAGTCTATGTAAAAAGGACAAGTGGGGTCAAATTAAATATTATGTCGGATAGTCAGGTAGGTTAATGGTCTTAGGGCCGGTTGTTCAATGTCTGGTTATCACTACTTACCGGTTAAACATCATTATCGACGTTTTCGACATCATACATATAACATGTGATCGATAAAGCAGTCGTTTTATTTAACCGTAGCTTCTACCGCCGATTAGTGCTAATCAGACATTGAACAACCGGCCCTTAGACTCTTTTAAAACGACAGCAGGCTTGTGGGAAGCTCACAATAACGTAACGCTGTGGTGGGTTCCGGGACATGAAGGGTTTAAAGGCAACGAAAGCTGACTATCTCGCAAACCGTGGAGCCCAAATGCACTTGCATGGTCCCTAGTCTTGTGTGAGCTGGTCGAGGAAACCCCAGAGCATATTCTAAGTGACTGCCCACGTATCATAAATAGCAGACTGATACACTTTGGGGAACGATTGTCTTTTTCATCCAAAATTTTAAACATGGCGCCCACCAAAGTGCCTAACTTCTTAAATAGAATAAGGTTGGAGTGATTACAACTAGGGTTAAGCACAATAGATCATCTTAGGTCACAGCGCGTGTATCCCCGACATAATAATAATAATATGTACATATGTGTAAAGAGGCTATCAAATTCAATGGCATTTGCCGTCAAATAAGTGAAAACGCCAAGTAAGATTAACCCCTGCCGGTCGAGAGGGTCCGGGTTGAGTACTCCTCGGGCATAGAGGATTTTTTATATTTTTAATTTAGTATTGATTTTTTATTAGTTTTATTTTTTTAATAATCTTTAGATTCTAATGTTTAAAAAAATTAATTTATTTTTTTCAATGGATTTGTATGATATTAAAGCATTTTGGTTTATTTCCTAACGAAATTCTTATTGAACAAATTTCCTCGCTTCATATTCGCATTTTTTTTTTTTTTGAATAAAATGGAAAACAATTAACTTTTTCCACATATTTTTATTTTTGAGACCTGCTCTTAGCCAGTTGACAAATTAGTGACCTTTTTTGAGACTAGAGACGTGAGGCAGCGTACTAAATACCAAATATGTAGTCTCAAAATCCAAGCTCACCACCAAAAATCACTATTAGTGACTAGAGACCGCTTACTGAATTCCAGGGTAAAAAGCACTATATTGATGGATTTCGATCAGGATAGGTCTTTAGTCGCATACGTGCGCTGATATATCGGCGATCTGTCTGCTTTTGGCTCATAATATTATCGGTAAAGGTATGGATAAAGGAGATAAAGTTCTGTCAAAATATGTCGCGAAATTTTGGCGTCAAAATATGACATAGTAGAGCAGTAAAACTAGCGATGGTTCTATCGATACTATCGAATAGTTCTATTTTTTACACTATCGAATGGTCGTTGGCCACCCTCGATAGCCTTTGTTTGAGGAAATATATATACAGGCATGTTCTGCAAATCGTACGATATCAAATCGGTCCAATTCGCAACGTATCGTTGTATATTCGTAATCACAGTATTAAATGTTTCAAATAGAAACTGCTAAGAACACATCATTTACGTTATATCCATCGATTTAGTGCCAAATTTGTCCCTCTTTGTTATAAATCCTCCGAAATAGATTTTGTAAATCGTATCAATTTGAAATCGTAGTTTCTTGCTTTGCTTTTCATATTTTCGTTGTTACCCATTTAAAGAACCAAAAACTGGAATTCAACTAAATTTAAGCGTGTAAAAGCAATTAGAAATGCCAAAAGAGAATGAACCAGAATCGCTTTGAAGTGCTTGAATCATGTAAATCGGGTGTAATTAAATTTGAAAAAACTAGTTTGAATATCTTTTTGGACCCATACTATGGTGTTAGTGATTCTGCGTCGATTGAAGAAACTATTGTTATAAGCCAGGGTTTTAGTCAAATTTTGGAAATTCTTGTATTTCCGTTTGATAATTTTAATGGATAAATAATCATGTAGAAGTCGGGGTACGGTTCAGCTATTTGTACAATGATTTGGGTTCTTGTAACACACGCTTGAAATATGGACTTTTCCGTAAGTTTTGGAGTGAGTTCATGCAAAAATACTGTGGCGTAGCCGGAGTTGGTCTGATGAAAGTTTTATGTAATATTCTTTACGTATTCTATACGATTGGGAATTTCAGGTTTTAATATTATCGGTTTAAAACACCTTACAAATGTAAAAGAAAGGACAAAGTCACTGAAAATGAAAAACTAAAATGTTTATACAAATAGTTATATAAAAAGTTTTTATTAATAGCATCGTCAATGCATTTAAAAATTATCCGAAATTTGTTCATGGCAACACTGCATATAACAGAGAAAAGGGGAGAACGTGAGAGAGTGCAACGAATTTCGAAAGGCGAATTAGTAAAATTTCGCTTTTCATAACAACATTTCTCTCACATGCAAAACCTCATCAAAAAACTCAGGGTAAAAAGAAGTATGACACATTCGCAGCGTACCCACCTTTTAGGAGTAAATATGGCAGAAAAATCGAAAATTACTTAGTTGAGTATCGAAATTCTGAAGAGTGCAATAAACTGCTCAGCTGTAATTGCGCTGTGATCCACAGACCCCTTGTCATCGCAATGCACTTATGCATGTATGCATG